TGTGTGTGTGTGTGTGTGTGTGTGTGTGTGTGTGTGTGTGTGTGTGTGTGTGTGTGTGTGTGTGTGTCAGGGTTGGTGAGGAAGCGACAGAGCGTGACCGATGGAAAACGAGAGGAGTGATGAGATGGAGGTAGACGCAGATAGGACAGAGATAGAAGAGATATGTTATCAGTACTTGTGTCAGGTATTTCCTGTGAGTGTCTCCATCTGAGCTGATTAATAAGGACCTCAGATCTCTACATCAGCACAGCACAAATAATAAGGTGTGATTAGACGTATTTCAGCATAGTCAGAAAAACTCCTTTACTCTTGATTACATCTCTGAATCCTAAACTTCCTCTAATACTGCAGCTGCAAGCGATCCATGCAGGCTAACACAGCATTCATCCCCCCTGGTCCTCCTGTCCTGGGACACTTCAGGCCAACAGTCAACCCAGTTTTATTTCCATAGCACCAAATCACAACAGTAATCACCTCAGGCTGATTCATATTGTAAGATCAGCAGCCTACAATAATATAGAGAAAACCCCAAAAGTTAGACGCCCCCTTCTGAGCAAACACTTGGTGACAATGGAAAGGATAAACTCCCTTTCAACAGGAAAAAAGCTCCAGCAGAACCAGACTCGGGGAGGCGTGGCCATCTCAAAAAGGGCGAGGTCTCTTTGACTGACAGATGGATGGAGGGCAGGCAGCTCCTACCTGCCTGCTGGCCTTCTCCTTGTTCTGCAGTTGAAAGTATTTAATATAATTGTCCAATGAAATCCCTGCTGTGTGGTTAACTGTACAAACACGCTACCAAAGACGTCCACGCTCCAGCTTTCTGATAGAAATTCTCCCATTTTATTGAGTCAGCACAAGTTTGCAAGTATCTGCACGCACACATGCACAAGGCTGGGGATAGAAGTCACTAACAAAGTCTGCTAGTATTAGCAAGTTCGTTACTCCGTGCTCTCATCCTTATTTGATCAGTTCTTTCTAATAATAAAACGAGGGAGCCAAATGTTAACAATGTTTGTCACGTGAAAATGACATTTTTGGGCTCCACTCATTATCAACATCATGAAGCAGGAAGTCTTTGGAATGGAAGTTTTTTCTTTGTTAGAGCTCAGAAGAACTGGGTGCTGCCCCTCGGCAGGCTTCCAGTAATTGACCAGTCACAGTAAAGCATATTTTTAGGGAGGGGAGCGAACAGCAGGAGCTAAAATGACTTGTTTCGAGATGAATCGTGCACTATAACAAGGATAGGAACTGTTTTAAACGCTGAATCATCCAAAGCTGGTCCATGGATAAGGTACGCTTTAATAACAGATGTTACTCGATTTTGATCATTTCATAAATGGATGTCTGACACACATAAGTGTGTTTTTTATTAAAGAGTCCGGCCACGTTAAGTGCACATGAAAGAAGAAGACGTCAGGTTGACTCTCTGTGAATCAGAGCCGCTTCAGCTCGGACAGAAAGGACAGAGATGCTACGTTCAGCTCATGAAAGGCTCGCAGTCACCAGCTGCTGAATGCATCCCGAGCACAGGTTTGGTGTCTCTTCTTATCTGTGATGTATTTAATTATGCGTTTGTTCAAAGTCGCATTTACGACTGACAGCTCACCGCTGTTGAACTCGCACACAAAGAAAATCTTTGTGATGACGACAAGCAGCTGAAGGAAACCAGTGAGACCAGTTCATGTTCTCACATCTTCTTCTGCTGGAACTATTTCGCAGCCTCAAAGCAACGAGCCGCAGTGCAATCCCACTGAGCTCTGTGTTCGCCAAGCTCGCTCCACACAGACGTGAATGAGTGTACCGTCAGCTGACTCACCGTCTCTGCTAACATCCACAGACAGGTTCCTCGCACAAACAGGAGGAAACAAAGCATGAGAGCAGGAAGAAGAGCTGAAAACAGCGAAGAAGAGATAAAATCCCAAGGGTGAGGACGGCAGCGCAAAACTCATGATGTGCACAATTCTTTTTTGCTCTTTTTTAATAGCCAGTACATAAAACTAAGCTTTGGTGATACAGAGCATACACCTGAGCAGTTTCATGGTCCCTCATGGAAGAACTTTCATCAGCGCCCTTATTTCCCCGCGGTCGCCACAGCAGATTGATCCACGTGTTTGATTTGGCATGGATTTTCCCCCAGATGCTGTTTCTGATGCAATTATCCCAGTTTGGAACCAGCACTAGCCGTACATCAGCTTGTCAAATACCGAGGGTGGGTTTGCATCTTCTCCCAGTCTCAAACCAGGAATCGAGCGTAGGCACTGAACCCTCAGAGAGTCAGGGCCTCTGAGTTCTGCCAGTACGATATAATCAAATTTAAAATGCTCCAAAAGGCTCAAACAGCACAAACAAGGTCCAAAGATCCAGTTCATAATTCTGCAAAAATAAAACACCTACATTTTGTTTGACTCTGTCTGTAATCACACAAACGGTTTCATTACGTGAAGCCAACACTGTCAGTAACTAAAGGTGATTTTCAGTAAAAGCTGAAATTTGACAGAGTAAAAATGTAAAAATGACTCGTGTTTCCTATTGTTGTAATTCTTCTGTTATTCAGTTTTATGGAAATATTTTCAGTTTATCAGCATCAAAGTTTCATGTTTTAAATATTTGTTGCAAATTGATGAAGTAAAAAAATGCTCTTCCTTTTTCTGCCTCAGACCAGTCTGACCTCTGAGCCTCCTTCCCCACAGAGCGGATGCTCTACGTCCCACGAGCCTGGAAACAGACCTCCAAATCCTCCACCTTGCACTGCCACTCGAGCCACAGCACAGCGTCTGAAGACAACAGTCTGAGTGAGCTTAGACGAAGTTCAGTTAAAGCTGCTCGGTGGCAGGAGCTGAACAGGTGGGTGATCTCTGATCACTAATCAGCCTGATTGATTTTACTGCTCAAAGACTGTAGCACATCTGCTGAAGGAGCTACAGTGCAAGCATGTACAAGCCAATATCGCCATCTAGTGTCCGCCTGCAGAACTGTTTCTGTCCTGCAGCTTCAGCACTGCTCTGTGTCCTCTGAGCTCGAGTGCGAGGCCTCCATCAGCAAAAATCCAAACGTTCCAAATATTACCATCAAACATTTAGAAATCCACTCAAGAGGAAGCAAACGTTTATAAATAGATCGTAAACACTTTCACATCTGACCCACGAGTTTTGTGAACAGAATCGTTAGTTTTTACTTTTTCATGCTTCAGTTTTGATGTTTTTACTCATTTTTAAATTCATTTTGTTTGTCTTAATGTGCCTTTATCACTAATTTTACTTATTACTCTAAATATGTTCTCTATGTAACCTATTTTCTACACTAAAGCATATATATGTATGTATTTATTGAAACGTGTTAAATAAATGTAATTTTTTTTATCCAACAATCAAATCTAATTGGGATTAAAAAGCAGCAAAAACATCCCGATGCCAACAAGATGATTCAAAGCTACTCACAGCTTCTCTCCATCTGCAGCTTTGGCATCCTGAACCAGAAAAACCGAACCAAAACTTCCTCGGCCCAGATTCTGCAGGATGCTGTATCGCTTAGCGACCAGACCACCGCCTCCGGGGGTCAAAGGTTGGCCGGCTGCCACCTCCTGGAACCGAGGCATCCTGTCAGCTCACCTGTGGAATAAGAAGAGGCGACGGAGAGCTCAGAGTCACTAAAAGCGCAGTTCGACTTCCCCGAATGGAAAAATGATATCCATGTATTACGTCTGTGTGTTCACACTGGCCCTCCACAGTAATTCACTGGTCCAGTGTTCCACGACCAGGATGAAATACGTGTCATGCTCCTTCCACCACCCGACAATATCCTCAGTCGTAATCAGTAACGCTACAGCCGCAATATACACAGTGCAGGTAGAGCACCGCTTTCCCCTCCCGAGTCGCCTGATGGTTATCAGCTGCATCCAAAGTCCCACAGGCTAACCAAGCCTGATAAGACTCCTTCTTTAGCATGATGGTTCCTTTTACCTCTGATGTCCACCATCTTCTGTGGTTAGCACCATGACAGCCACCAACCACCTTGCAGCCCCAGCTCAGTGCAGCAGCTTCAGCAATGGCGGGGCTGAACATGGTGCATTCAACCTCAGTGTTTCCCTTGGAATGCTGTCAAATCTCTGCCAGAGATGGGAGTCTCCCGGACTGTGGGCTCTGCTAGGCGTTACCAGTGTACCCTCAGTATACATTTAGGCACATTGGGTCTATCCAACATCCTCCTTGGCCACCTGATCCAACCCACTGCATCTGGTTGAAACCTCTCAACCTCACGCATAAGCTCACGCTCCTTCCACACCAGACAGGTGACGTTTCATGTCTCGGTAGCCGGGCATTGGTCTACCAGGATCTCCACCCTTGGTCGCCACCCAGCACACTGCATGCAACCCCTAAGCCACCTTCTGAGGGTGGTGGGCCTACAGGATTGTGAGCCCAAGTCCTTTCCTGCCTGGCTCCAGGGCGGGACCCCGGCAACCCTATCTCAGACACGTTGAACTGTTTCCTAGGCTTTTCACTCATGAGGGTTTCTGAATAGCTCTTTGTCTGGTCCTTCACCCAGGACCAATTTGTCATTTGACAACATAGCCCCTGGGATTCCTGGGATACACAAAACCCTCCACCACGATAAGGTAGCGATTCACAGAGGGGATCATAGATTAATTTCTAAAGACAGAGTAAAATAAAATCACAGATGTGGTATTTCTTTCATTCTGAAAAGAAGAAGAAACCAAAAAAGTCTAAGAAACAATCAAATCCATCCCAGAGTGAGAGAAGTGAAGCAGAAAACTGTTAAGGCTTTCATCAGAGGAGTTATTTTATTTTGAAAACATTTCAGGAAATTGGTTTTATTTTGAAAATGTGACCGGACCCATAAATGCACACAATCAATCGCTTTGTCCGTTAATGGAACTCGGGTACCAGTATCATGTCTTTTTAAACAACTGTTTTCTCGAGCTTAGAGCATGCGCGGGATGGAGGATACGGCAACCGGAAGCTTATCAGCTGTTTGTATCCGCTGCTTTAATCAGCTCGTTTGTTCCCGTAAAACCGACGGCGGAGAAGAAAAAAGGAGAAAAGGAGCTAAAAGTGTCCGATAGTGAAGTTCTGAGGATCTCGAGTAGCGGAAAAGCTGCCGCGTCATCTCGCGATATTTGGGTTTTTAAATGAACCATTTAACCAGGTAAATAAACTGGAGCGATGATTTGTTGTGTTGTTTACCTGCAGCAACTCTGGATGGCGGACTTCCGTGTTTCCATGGAAACTAAAAACAACGAACGCGCAAGCGCACTGACAAATGCAGGGGAGGAGCTTACATCAGGAGCTCTCACCAGGTGTTCTCACCTTGTTTACTTCCTGCGACCAATCTGCTGCTTCCTCTGTGGTCACATGAAGCTGAGGCGACACAAACTGAATATATTGCATACTGTTACTTCTTGCTGTCAGTAGCATTTAAGCTGACAAAGCAACAAGCTGCGTTGAAAGACCTTCAAACTATACGTCAGTTTTCACATTTTATTTTATTAGAATAAAAACATATAAGCGATGCTTTTCTCTGAATTCTATCGATACGTTTGTGCTGCAAGAAATTGTTAAAGAAACGAAGCATTTTCTAAGGACAGCATGAAAAACAGTAAAGAAAGAAAAATGCTGCCTCTTTCCTATTGGTTGAAAAATGTACCATGTCGACCAATTGAAGAAAAAAAACGACAACACGTGGTTGTTTAGGAAGAGAGAGAGAGGGCGGGATTTGTGATGTTTAGCGTGTTGTGTGTGTGTTGTGTGTCAGTGAGGGCACTAATGAATGTGACAAAGGCTGCAGTGCAAACACTGTCTCCAGGTGGAAACAGGAGCAGTGATGCACGTCCTGCTGTCAGGCCTGCAGCTTTGTCCCTGTGCTGTTCTCTGTCTCGTGGCCACAAACTCATTTTCTTCACTGACACAAATGATTCGTGCGGCATCTTATTGTGACACCTGCTTGTTCTCTCCAGTGGCGGTCCTAGCCTGTTTGGTGCCCCGGGCGAACACCCCCCCACACACACACAAACAGACACATAAAACATATTAAGGCTTGTACATTAACATAAAACTGTTGTCGAAATTCACCAGAGAAACATACAAACACACACACACATGAAGAGAGAGAGAGTATGCATGGTATGAGAACAGGACAAATCAACAACTGACAATCACTAATTAATATTAAAATCTGTAACATAATGTGTTGTTTGGAGTTTAGTCTGTTACTGTTGCTATTTTTACCATTTCTTCTTGGAGCAACTGTAACGCACATAATTTCTTTAGAGATTAATAAAGTATTCTGATTCTGATTGTTTCAGGATGAGCTGCCATTATCCAATCACACATCTGCTTACCTGCATCTTTTGCTCGTTTCTCCTCCTCTTCTTTTCTCTTTTTCTAAACTGAGCACCTGATGGCTTTGAACTTTTCTTGTCCATCTTCCATTGGTTTTAATTTTGCACTCCAGTAGGAACACCCATCCCTCAACCCGAGGATCAACTTAACCTAACACACCTACACCTTAGTTCACGGATTCACTTTGTCTAAGATGCATTTCTGGGATTTCACACAACCCAGGATTCAAAACATGAACACATGATGGGCTTGGATTTACAACTTTATGAATGAAATGTGCTCTATTTGGAAGCAGCAGGCCCCTCCCCTTTCGACAGGTTGTGTGTGTGACTTTAAATCATCAAACTATAAATTATAAATTTTAAATTGTCATTGATCCTTTACCCCGAGTCCTAAAGTGTATATTTATTTTCTTACTGTTCTTATGTTTATTGTTTGTTTCCTTGCACTACTGTAGCTGGAGCCTCGTCATCTCGTCTCTATATGCTGGACTGTCTGTAGCGGAGATGACAATAAAGTTTACTTTGACTTCAGCAGCGAGCAGGCGCACCTCGCAAACGGAGGGCGCCCTTACTCCCAGGAAATGGGCGTAAGAACACCGATCAGTGTCTATACCATCCCCACTATACATTATATATACTATACATTTTACATCAGATGAAAACTTTGG